CAGTCAGTTGTACTGAGTCAGTCAGTGAGTCCTGGAGCTACCGCCGAGTTAGCCAGCAACTAGTCAGTTGTATTCTGGCATTTGGAGTGTACTAATTGTGATACTGCAGATAGCAGTAACCGTAAATCTGTAATTTGGGTGATTGTAAGTGCGAATGTGAAATAAAATTCGTTACATCAAATACATCGAGAAGTTATTTGTCGCGATATATGCAAGATACGCGACAATTGGTGTCAGAAGTGGGACCAGTAACGCAAAACACGTTACAATATATTCTCTATGCAAAATGCAGCCAACTTCCCCTAATAAATACTAACACTTAAGAGATTAACATGGCTCAAAGAGGCTAACACACTTTGCAGCATTTCAAATACATTAACAATGTGTGATGTGCGAATGAAAAATTAGTGATGTGCGGATGAAAAATTACATGCTTCTTTCACTTTTGTGACAAAAATGTTCCATCACAGAAAAATTCCAAGAAGTGCTGAATGCAATGAAAATATATGACCAGAGTACAAAGAAATATTCAAACATATTGTAACGTGTCTTGAGTTCGAATCTTGTTTGTCACGTGTGTAAGTTCTAATCCCACTTCTGACACCAATGTAACGTGTTTCGTTACTGAATAGGCCGTAGAGATGGTTAATTGGTTTATTTAACAATCTACAAATAACGGCTACAATTAATTATCACACAGTTGCGGGGTTTCACACTTTATAACCCTAATCGCATTAATCTGTCGACACTGTTGCGGGGTTTCACGATTTATAACCCTATGCGCAAATCAGCTCACTCTGCCTTCAGTAGTCTACACGTTTACAGTAGGGGAGCTACGTATCACTGTATCACACGCTCCCAATTACACAATCACACACACGTCCAGTTCTTCTATCCGCGACGGCTGCTATACTCCAACTGTAGTCCACTGACTGGAGAACTGTTGATAACACACTCTCGTAGGCTTGCTCGGAAATATCTTCGGCGATGGGCACGTTATAACTTGACTCGGCGACTGTTACGTTACCACTCGGTGGCGGTCACAGTACAACTGAAGTCGCCGATTGCTACAGTAGAACTGACTGGTACCTGCTGTGCAGCTCACTTATATAGCTGCAGTGCTTGCCGGTTGCGTAATGAGTGCCATGTCACAGTAGGAGTTGATTACGGGTACGTAGCGTAGCGCGTTACGTCACCGCAGAGGGGAGTGGCGGGGCAGGAACTCGCCTATTACCGTAGTAACGCGAGCGTTACGTTACCGCCACGTACCGCTGGGGAGGTAGGGGTGATCCATAGCTCAACATGTCACAATATTATTATTAATTTCTTGTTTTTCCTTCCCATCTCCAAGTTAAACAGCTTTTATTTATTAGAAGTAATTTCACTTATTTTCATTATACTCTCAGTACTGAACAAATTTTCTGATAAGGGCAAGTTTCCATTTAGTCGAAGTTCTCCTTCAGCCAAGACAGTGCACCTGGTGTTTGTTTACCCTCAAACACACGCACATACATATATTACTTGTATATTTCTATATCTGGATCATTGTCCCATTTGGTTTATGCTCTTTAGAATTCAGTGAGTTTGTTCCCAGTAGTGTATTTTGATGAGTTTCTCCCACATGAGGCCAAAAATCTGAATCACACCTATACAGACAGAGGACAAGTATAGGTCAGAAGTCAGAAAAAAGATACAGAACTTGCAACCAACTACAGTGTGTAATATAACCCATCAGCCAAGGTGCCTTTATATAGTAAACTGCATTTACTTTATATGCCAGAGATTAGAGGTTTACAAGATTGTGTTTACATTCCCATGCAAGTGGACAAGCTTGTGTTCATGTGTACCTGTGTGTCCTTACTTGCATGAAGTACATTTGGTTAAATTATGATTGTGTTATGCACAAGATGTGTTTCTGTGCAGTCGCAACTTGTGTAGGTGAGAACAGTTTTCTCTAAGATTAAACAGCTGCCATGTGTGGTAAATCTTTTATTTCACATCATGTAAAATACTCCATTTAAACTCCATAATCGAGTATAACATGTATATTATAGAATACATTCTACATTTTACAGAAACAGGCATTCTGTCACTTAACTGCAACCATATTTACAACGCACAATTGTGTAAGAAAATATCACCAAATGTTTATGACCTTTTTCATTTTTAAACAGGCATATATAAGTTTTAAGTAAGTATTTCCAGGTATTTCTCCTCCATGAGCTACCAATAGTACGCTTCACAAGCCATTTCCCAGGTGTACCTCAAAGAGAGAATCAAAATCTTCTCAGTGTGAAATATTTAGTGTTCATTCTTTGTCCTGTGGGCCCTTCGTACTCTTACTTACCTCACCAATCATACACAAGTCCATCACCTTGTGAGGAATTTACCCTTTCACAGGTATCAGATCAACAGATACATCACACCTGGGATTCACCCATGGCATTGTCACATGTTCGCCCACTGGGGTACGATGGAAAAGAAGCAACAATGCTATCATTCTTCTAACCTTACATTACTACAAAAGAGAAATTTTGTGAGGCACTGCATATTGTGTATTGTGAGAAGGTGTACTTCCATATATACAATGCTGAATTATAAAATTATACTCTGCAAACTTTCACTACAGCATCTGAGAGCACCTTTACTTTCAAAGAGTAAGAACATGGCTTTAACCTTTTGTTTCATTATGATGACATCACATTATTGTTGGACGCAATTTTGGACATATTACAGCAATTGTTGCACTATCTTATGTGTCAATGAACTATTGTTAATGAGTGTTAAAATTATAGCTGAAGTAAAATTTTCTACATAATGCCTCTGTCTTTAACAATATAACATTACATTCTCATTGAAACAAGCAGGCAGATAGGCTGTGTAAGCGTCAGCTTTATCGATGGACGTGTCTTCAAAGCACCCCGGTTCAGCATTCAATTATACAACATCACAGTTCTTGCTGCCTCTTTTCCCGTTTCATTAAATCACAGAAAGTTACAGTTGCTTGCCTTTGTACAAGTTTTCAAGCACAATTCATTCATTGTAACAGAACCATGAAAGGCCAATACACAGCTTACAGAGATTAATGTGAAAATTAAATGAAATGGATAGTTCCTCATTAACAACCATTATAAAATAATTATTGGCCATAGAGTAATTCTTGATTAGAAAATAGAATCCTGGACAAATAAAGACAAACACATATTTCTACATAGATACGATATGTTCCACAGATTTTGTTTAATATTACACGAAAGAACTAGCAATTGAAGTATTCTGATACAATCAGTTCACACAATTTCAGTTCCCACTAATTATGTAGGTAACACACATTACCAGTTCAGATATGAAGAGACATTCTTCTCATCTGTTATTTTATAAACAACGGGTAGTGATAGACACAGCTTTGCATTGGATCAACTTACAAAAGTCAGTGCTGTCCCAGGTTCCTAACAACGGTTATAACGTTGTACATTTCCATACTTCAAAATGCTCATTCTAATTCAATAACACACAATACAGATACCAAACAGTTGTACACACAGTTTAATACAAGCAACCATCCATTAACATGATATGAGTTTGGAAAAATGAAGGACATTCTACCAGAGGAAAAGCTTCTTGTCTCCTATAAATTATGTTTGTCATTTGACAAAAACCATTCTTGTACTTTCCAACTCAATAGACTGTTTTATAACCTTTATCAATCCCTACAAGAAGGGGTGTTCAAATTTTGACACTGGAACTAGAAAAATATTTTAAACATAGAAAGAACAATGAATGACATTTTAGTATGACAGAGCTCTTTGTTTTACCACCATAATAATAATAATAATCATCATCATCACCATCTTTTTCATCATCACAATGCTGGAGAAGAGCCCCCAATGCACCATGCGCCCTTAATCAAAATATACAATATTCTGGTGGAATATGATAATGGTACCTTACACCTAGGCCCTAAAGATCCTATTATTAACAAAATAAATAAATTACAAGACTACACACATATTCATATATATCTGTTGACATACAAACATGTACCTTACAATTCACTGATAAAACTTCACCTTCCAAACAAAATGGAATTATTGGCGTAAACTTGCAGGGTAACAAATCCAGGAGAAATCACTGCACCATACAGTTGTGCTTCTCAGTTCAAAAGTCAGTTTGTGGTGAGCTTCATGTCCACAGGCTGCTCTGCTTCAAGGATTTCTCTTGGATTATCCATTAACAGGTACTAAATAATCCCAAAACTGTTTGTAGAGTGCAGATCCATTTATTGTGTAGTATATATTATCATTATTCGACTACGGTTCCTATAACACGGCAGCAACTCACTGGATATTCCGACCCCAAGTTTAGTCCCAGCACCAATTTCAAACACTTACAAAAATAAAGTTCTTTCATTTTTTCTTTGTTTCTTTTGTTTTTAGCAGTTCCTGAGATCTCATCAAAAAAAAAAAAGGGGATAATTTGAAGCAAAATATTATTCTTTGCTTTTCATTCGTTGAAAACATCGTTTTACCTGGAGTGTCCCATGAATATAACGACAATTGCACTCACTTTCCATTATGCAAGGCACACACTGAGAGTCAGTTGGTGCCATTTGGCGATTCGATATGTACAAATAAATCTGCAGGTCACGCTCCTGTGCAGTCTATCTCAACAATGTCCTTGGGCACATCTACAAACTGGTACACCAATCTCTGTCCATCAACTTTAGCCAGAATGCCACGCTGATAGTAATACCTGCAACATTTAAGTCATAGCAGTATCAGAATATCTGGAATTATGAGAAACAAAATAACAGATTTGAAAAAAAAACTGTGTAATGAAGAATTTCATAATTTTAACTCTTCATTAATTATTAGAGTGCTTAAATACAGGGTTAAATGGGTGGGATGTGCAGCATAAGTGGGGAGTTAAGAAATACACACAACTGTAATACGTAGGTCAGTCAAAAAGTTCCCGGAATTCCCCTGCAGACAGAGAATGAGCAATAAGATAGCGCACACACTCTTGTGGTGGGAAGCTCAGCATGTCTGCTCACAGGCGCAACAGGTCTGGACAGGTTTCAGTGTGCAGTGTTGTTACTGTTCCATTTGAATTATACATGAGTGTTGGTCATTCGGCACAATGTTGCAGTTCGAACAGCATGCGAACATCAAGTTCATGCACAAATTGGGAAAATCTGCTTCAGAGATGCAATCAGCCCTGCAGCAAGTTTAAAGCGATACGCACTAAAGAAATCCGCAGTTTACGACTGGTTTTCCCGGTTTAAGAATGGGCAGAAGACGTTAGAGGATTACCAGTGCAGTGGGAGACCTTCGACATCCAGAACCGAAGAAATGATTGGAAAAGTGCGACAACTGACTCTATGTGATCGAAGAATGACCATTGCGAAGTTGGAGCAAGAAGTTGTTACTCTTACTGGCCATTTCTACGTGCAAGTTTTGCAGAGGTTGTGCGATGCAGTTCAGAGGAAGTGGCATGACAAGTGGCAGGGACAGTGGTTTCTGCATCACAATAATGCACTGAGCCACACATTGCTTGTTGTGCAGCAATTCTTCGCTGAGAAAAACATTCCTGTCATCACTCAACCACCATACTCTCCAGATCTCGCTCCATGTGACTTTTGGCTGTTCCCTACTCTGAAAATGGGCCTCAAGGGGACACATTTCGTAACCATGGAGGACATCAAATCGAATGCAACGGCTGAGCTTCGGAAGATTCCAAAGAAGCCTTCCACTGCTGCTTCCAATAATGGCAGGATCAATGGAGCAAGTGTGTGCGCGGGCAAGGGTCCTACCTTGAAGGTGATTAGGTAAGCGTTGCTGTATGTCCTACCATTACAGTGCTATACCACCATTCCGGGAACTTTTTGGCTGCCCCTTGTAGGTGAAGGGAAGGGAAGAGACCAACTGGGAAACCAATGAACAATAATACAGGTCTTAAAATGCATTATCAGAGAAAGAGAAAGTGAGGATGTGGACTGAATTCAACAGCCTCAAGATGGGATCCTTTGGTCTCTAATAATTCTTCAAGTCCACAAAAAGTGAAGTAATTTTTTAACCAGAAATATGACTATCAGCTTCTCAAGATGTGCCCTGAACTATGGAGTTCATTAACAATATGTGGAATTCTGTGCATCCAGGGCCATGTGTTATCATAAGCAGAAAGATATTCAACTTTACTGTGGCCTAAAATACACTACAAAAATGAATACAGAGAAGAAAAAGAGCAGTATTTCATTCTAAGAACCAGAATTTCCTGTCTGCAATATGAATCCACCTGCAATTATCTTCATTCCTTCCTCAGTCAAATGCCATCTAATCAGTCTTGCCACACCACACTTCCCTGCTCTAAAATACTCGTATGTTTCCATTTTGAATAACCACACAAAACACACTGGTAGAACAAAAGAGTAATATGGATTATACAATCACTGTGTTTCACTTGATTTCCTTTAGACAAACTGATAAGCCAATTTAAAAATTGTGACAAAATGGAAGGTAGCTCAGTACTTGCCTTCTTATTGTTTTAATTATACAAATACCATCTTGGGATACAGAGTAACTGATAAGAAGTTAATGTGGCATTTTCATTTATTACATACAATAATGCTCAATTAATGGCCCACCAGAGAATAATAATGTAGATACATCATCAAACATTCAATAAAATCATACATCTCATTGTTTATGTTATGCAAAACATATAGGGCCTAATAACACTTATAAAATGGAAAGTCATTCCACAGACCACTCAAATACAAAACTGATAATACAGCACAGATAATGTAAACATATCCCATGTTGTAATGACGTAAGACAGTAAGTTCTTATCATACTCATTACCACTTTCTACGTGTAAACACTGACTCAATCGTCCAAGACTTACCTGAGTGCACGACCCATTGTTTCATAGTTCATGTCAGGTTTGTTTTTGTGCAGTCCCCACAGGCGAGACACAGCTTTAGAGTCAACCAACTTGAAGACTCCTTTCTCTCGATTGGTCCACTTAATATAGCGGGGGCAGTAGTCCCGGTCTTGAAGCAATTTCAGTAGGAACTCCCACAGGTACGTTGTTGAGCCTGTGTAAATGTTACAACACACATCAGCTTCTGCTTCCAGATGTGACAACAGCAAATCAGAAATTGTAGTCTATGGACATGCTATTTACTGTCATTGCGTTTAAATATTATATTACATACGATAAAATATTGGTCAGTATTCCTATGGCTTCTGTTAAGTGTGCTTATTTTATATATCTAGTATACATGTAGATTCTAACAGGTTCTGTTGATGGTGTATAACATTCAGGATCAATGGTCCAGTGATTCCTGTTAGCTTTATCTAACAGACCCAATAGAGTAGGTGTCTCCCTCTTCACCTGAGGATGGAAACAGATCCGCTTTTGGAAACGGTGTATTCTCCAGTGTTTTTAGAGAGCCATATGATGGACAAAGTTCAAGTCATACATGTTTTAGCTCTATCAATCAATCACTGGTCTGTGAACCAATGTCAATCCATGGCCCAATTGATGGCAGTCAATAAATTCTAGTTACTGTTACATTATATAGTGTGACTGAAATGTCACACAATCTACTGAACTTATTCTTAATAAATAAAATATTATAAATTTATTCCATACTGAAAAATCAGGATATTTGTATGCAAACTCAGTCTGGCATGCTAAATAGGAATACGGTGATTGACAACGTTCAACAGTAAACATGTATCCCACAACTTTGGCTATCCACAAATACACAACTGACAAAAAGCTATGGGCAACTGACACAAATTACAACCTGAACACAATTATATGCAATATCTAATGCAAAATACTAGATATCTGTCTGTGACATACGTGTCGTTCAAATTTTTTGGACCAGTTACTTATCTAACAGACTACAAGATTTTTTGACCACTCTGTTATTTCTTTTGCCATGGATTGAAAAATTACTATTTTGCAACTACTGACATTTATTGTTTTTAATTTACTAGTTTGTGTTGGACTCTCTCCATCTTGTGGCATTTACTGGTGACTACTCAAGTGGTGAGGAAGAAAACCAGAGTTTTGGGGTTGGTCACTCTCACAAATGAGGCAGCAAATCTGTGTTACATACCCCAGATATCCCTTGGAAGACAGACATGTCATTGTGCGGAATTCCTAATTGTGAATGTGATGTCAGTTCAATTTCAAGGTGTTAATTTCTACACTGTAAATAAACATGTTTAGATGTGCTAGTAAGAATTAGATTTGCAGACTATTATTTTTACTGTATAATATGGAGTATGGTCCTTGAATCATTGGAAACACACTGCTGTTTCAACAGTCATTTAATAGGCAAAAGTTCAGAACAAAAGTTTTCATCTTAATTATATCTGTTTATACATATGATACACGTACTTTAGCCCACTGTTTAGTCATATGTAGAAGGGAAGACGCGTACCAAAGTGATTTAGAAATAGTGATGGAATACAGACAATACCTATTCCCAGAACCCTCACCTTCACGACTCTTTCGCTTGACAGCGCCAGGTTCTCCACTCTTTGGTTTCTTCATCTTCTTCTTGGCGCGTGGTGGGAAACCTATATCCAGCATGTACAGTTCGTCACTCACGCTGGAAGTAGCGGCTTGGATTACAGGCGTGGGGATGGCAGGAGGAGCGGCAAACTGTTGGGGTGCCGTCTGAAGGTGGTATGCCTGCTGTTGCTGATGGTGGGACGGAGGAGGCAGATACCCACTGTAGCCGTCAGGAACTGAAAACAATGAACGTGGATGATCATGTTCACACTTTGTTCCCAAAGAAATCAGGAAAATATGAGTTCCATTTCTGCTCCTGCTGCAAAAGTTGTATGCAAGCAACGACGAGAAATTCACAATGAAGCCCTACTAACTTTCCTCTATTAGATGGATCTACTTGTCTTGGAAAATTGTACGTCCTTTTAAAAGGTCAAATTTGAGAAATGTCTGCTGTTAAATACGTATGGCTTGGCTAGGTAATTCTTGTGTATGGTGTTTTGGTTAATGTGGGCAATGAATGCTCGAATAGGAAGGTCAATCATAAAATATGGATTTAAGAACGCTCAGAACAACCCTCACTGATTGGGGCATTTAATAGCCCGTTTTCAACTGCAAAGAGTGGCATGATGATTGTGAATAATGAATTGGACAAAATGTGAAAGGAGTCAGAAGTATTCCAGCATTTTCTGGACAGGCAGAGGAAAGCCACGAAAATCTTCAGTTAGGATATCCGGTCCCGGTCTCCGTACCGGGGATTCGAACTCGGGACCTCTCAAATACCAAGAAATAGTCCTAGTGTCTCGACGACGTGTGGTACAAAACAATATCTTCAGCACTAATGTAATAATGCACAGTCAGATGTTTCCATGAAAATGCACAATTAGCGGGAGTGCTATTAGCGGCCCATGCGTCTAGTTCGTGATGTCATACTGGGCTGATCTACTGTAAACACCAACGCCGTGATATCGCGGCAACTTCTCTGCTTCAGGTGTGGTGCGGGATGCTTGCTTCTGCAAGTTCTGCATTCTGCCTACGAAACAAACCGGGCTCGTTACACATGCTTCAAAGCACATTTTATAACTGTAACTACTGTGCCACCGACATGTAACATTTAAATTTGTAATGTGTTCGCAACTTAAAATTTTAACAACATCGAACGATTTTAGAACTCATTCTGTCTGCTCAGTTCACACCCAGACCCACATCCACAACTGTCATAAAAAATCGACTTTAAAAAAGTTAATTTATTTCAATTTGGAGTAAAACGCATGTGTTTCAAGCGCGTTCTTGGCGGGTTTGCATACTTCATGCCCTTAATGCCCATGTCTAATGCTACAGAGCCACTTTCAATAAACACACCTCACTGTATATAACCAAAAATTATTTTCGCTGTCAATACTTAACGTTTTGTATTGATTCTTTTAAAATTGGTCTATCGTTTATAAAAAAAAAATAAGTTCAGTGTCAGGGTAAGAGTCATACTGGATAAGTATGGACCAAAATTAAATCTGCACCTCAATTTTCAGTTTAAATACCGGTCCTAAATTTCGTCGAAATCCGCTTAAAGCTTTTTGACAGCAAAGATACAGGCATGCAACTTCTATTGTGAGTTTATTTCCGCACTCTGTGCAATGGACGCATAAATGCGTAATAAATTCAACATGTTTAGTGCACATGCATCCACTTTTTAAGGTTGAGACAATATTTGTGGCATCGTGTCAACATACGAGTAATTTAAGAAACGACCCGAGTATCCAAACGTTACCACCGAGAGATGCTGGCACAAGGGCCGCAGTTACTCAACAGCCTACAGTGCAGTAAGCACTGCAAACGAAATTCATGTATATCTGTGTGTGGCTGTCGTTATCTGCCGCTAACTCCCCAAAAATACTAAACACTACTCGAAGAAAACGTTTACGAAATAACAGTCAAAATAACATGGGATGTAAGATTTGAGGCTTTCACGGCGGTGACTATGAAGAAAGCAGTCTTCTGGGATTTGGCACTGTGTATATGTGGTGTTAACCGACGTTTCGGAGGAACGTATCGCCTCCATCTTCAGGGTAGAAGAAAAAATATAAGAAATCTGCAAGCGAAGAGCCCGTGAGAACCGGTAAAAGCAGACACAGTCTGTGTCCGGAGTGGCGCAGCATAAAGCCGCGTCACGTTTTGCGGTTAGTTTTACGGACAGAAACCGCAACGCCCACGCTGTCTGAATCTTAACTCTCAACAGGGCTACCATATAATAATGATGGCTGAGGTTAATATGGGACTTGTGGACGGAAGTTTAAAACAACTAGTATCGTTATGTTCTCAGAATGTTGCCACTCAGCCTATGGCCATAAATAACATGGAGTAACATCTACCGTCTATCTAAACTAACGTTAACAGTTTATAAATATTTATAACGATTAAATCCAATGAATGTTTTACAAGGGCATATCTTGCGTCCCCTAAGTCAAGCCAAGTAAAAGCAGGAACATTAAGTATCAATGTACATTCAAGTAAGTCAAAGACACTTGGCCGCGCCATAGCACAAGAGGTTAAGTCGCTGGCTTCCCACCGCGGCGGCCCGGGTTCGATCCCGGATCTGGTCAAGTGGGATTTGTGGTGGACAAAGTGACGCTGGGGCAGGTTTTCTCCGAGTACTTAGGTTTCCCCTGCCAATCTTCATTCCACCAATTGCTCCACAATCACCCTCACCTATCATCTGGGGCTGGGACAATAGGCCAGAAGTGGCCGCAGTACAAGGGACTAAGTTCCACCCCACTAACAAGTCAAGACACTTTCTGTAACTGTTAAACTGTAAATAACTCACATCTTATGGCGCGATTACATATCATTTGATTGGAAAGCTTATATCACGGCAAATGGCATTATTATTTGGGCAGGTGATTGGTGCAGTTGGATAGAAAAGTAACGCACAGCGAGAAGATCACATACAGCCCTACTGTCAGTAAATCCTGTCCGACTGTGAACTATTTCACAACTACCACACCTTGGAGACTTGATTGCCCAATCCGGTGCACTGACGCCACGCTAGCTTAACAGGAATCCACACGGCCATGGTCATGGTCAATGTCGGTATGCCGCGTCTCCATTATATTTTACGTTACGTCACAATCAGATAAAGACGTCATTAGAAAGCTACAAGATTAAATTTTCGGCATACCAAACTCGCCTCAACAGAGGTTCCGTTGAACATAAGGGCTTTCTTGAGTAATTGTGTCTACTTGAGATCTCGTTTATTCTCAGAGATGGTTTAAATACGTGTAGTACATACGTTCTCCTGGCGCGTTGTTCACGCTTTTGCATGCCTCGTTTACTTTGGTATTCATTTATTGCAGATTCGAATCTATAAAACAAGAAACATCACACGTAAACTGTGCAAGTCTGCTCAAGCTCTAACATTTCTGACTTGTATTCGGGGGGTGTCCGATTCGAATCTTGGCTGAGACACAAATTCTCCTGACAGGCATTTTTGTGATTTTCCGTAAGTCCTTCTAGCCAAATGTCGAGTTCAGACTTTAAATTACGTCAGGGTCGCTTGTTTCTGCTTCCTTTCCAACTCATTACTAGCAGCGTATCATTCGACGCCAGAGTCGAACTACAAACTACAAGAAGCAATGAAATGAGGAACTACTTCCATTTTATTTTGTTGCTCGCCCTACCGAAAAACACTGCCGATGAGGAGTGCATATATTTTGCCATGTAGCCTTACTATGTTTATGTACATGGCGTAGTTTCTGAGAAAACCGGCGAAGTTCGAATTAAGCTTCAGGTTACAAATGACCGATATGAACCCAAATACTGACCCCAATGCTCAAGCCAATCGAAATCTGCAGAATATTCTGGAGGTGAAAAAAAAACGAGCGTGACCTCATAGTTATGCGTTCATTTATGAATTTTGTACAAAGGTGTATAATCGTTTAAAAACTTTTACTAAAGGAAAGATATCTTTTCCATAATACTGTAGTGGAGCATCCTGCTGCGCCGTGTATTGCCATTTTAGCGCTCTGACGTCACTATCTCTGTGCAACTCCGTCCGTACTTTGAAATTCACGCCTCGAAGGCTCGTTGTCTCTTCTTCTTATTTACTTAGCACTGCATGTTTCGGTTTAACTGGCCTCTTCAAGTGTATAAGATTGTAGATGAAAACTGCTGCTCTTTTGTTACGCTGTTCTATTTTGCAGTTTACGAGTAATTCTTCCAGCCACACTATGGCCCTGGGGTCGACTCAGCCTCTTAACAGAAATGAGTACCAGGAATTAATTAAATAAATTTCCTGGGGAGTAATACGCGGCCGGCGTGTAAGGCTGACAACCTCACCGCCATCTTTGAGCCGACTGTCTAGATAATGTGGGACCCTCAACGTCTCACAACCCTATGGGCCTTCACGGCCTGTTACAGGGATAGCTTTATTTTACTTACGAGTAATGTAAAATGCTTAGCAAATATTTCATTTCATTTTTTAGCTTATCACGACGTGGTTACTTTTGTTGTGGGTCTGGTGTATATTTTTTGTGTACATACATGTAGACAACAAATTAACGTGAGAGGAAGCGTCATATGACAGGATGATGCAATGAATATGTAACAATGAATTTGGAACGATGTCCAAGGAAACCGTCCTAGTCTACTCTGAAGAACGATATGGAACTTATTTTGAGGGGCTGAAGAGAGCCAGTAAACATCCTAGTACAGTCGGTGTTCAGGCCCGAGATTCGAATCGGTCACCTCCCAAAAACAATTCTGAAGTTTTGCCCCTGAAGGCAACTTGCTCGGTATAATGGCTGCTTTTATGTGAGAGAGTTAACTTCACTGTTCTCCCAACGGTTATATTTTTCCACTGCTGAACGGTTAAAGTAATAATCATCGTCGCAGTGATGATAATTCTGTTGGAAGAGTCTGGTACATAGAATGCGTACATAGAATGCATTTGGCGAGTAGAACTTCGCATGACTGAACGGAACATCAGCACCCCACGGGCAGCCTCCGCGACTAAACTGGTCGATGGCGCTCGCAGCCTTGAAAGCGGTCAGTACCTTACTATTAGCTAAACAGTTCCAACGCTAGTCAGTAGATGGCACTCGCATCACCTCACTTCCGCATGAATTCAACAGGGAAAAATACGCAAAAGCATATTACACTTCCACTGCGCGGCCATGGTTACGTTCCAATCCTGCATTTCACTCGACAAGCGGGCAATTCCTTCACGAGCCAACGTATAGTTAGT